TAACTCCACACGCCTTTTCTCCTCGTATTCTCATTACTTTTTATTTCATGCATTTTAACTGCTGTAATCATTGTTAAGGTGAAGTGATGTCATGTAACACCGGAAGTGACGTCATGTAAATGACGGGGTTGTCCTTCAATAAAGCTTTTCAAAATAAAACTGTACATTCATTTAATATTCAGCAATACCATTAGCCACATGCTAATGCTAACCGGAAATTAAGTATTTTCAGAATAAAACAGTTTTAAGTTTACAGTATATTTAATCTAAATTACGCCGTATAAACATTTATTTTAATTTCTTACACTAGGGATCACCCTGACCCTGCGTACATGGAGACAGAGTGTTTCTAAACCTCCTGGCCCAGTCCTGCTGTTTTTAGCATTTGACTATTGGATTGTGAGATGTGGGATCTGAAATCAACTTTTTAAAAGGATCAAGGATCAGGATTCTATCCAGATTGTTATCTTCTGTCTCTGTTAGTTTCTTAATTCTGTGTCTCCTTTAAACCTTTAAACTTGGTATGACACTTTTCAGAGTAACATATATCACATAGTTATTTTTTCATAGCTTTTTTTGTTTATATTAGTTACCTGTTCTAACCTTACATTTCCTTTTATGTTTGTGGCAGTAGTTAGAGCTGTTGGCCGCATTACGTTTTTGGATTCCGCTCATACATAAGAGTGTTGAATACCAAAATGTTTAGTTTTACAGCTTGACTATTTAATTGTAATGTACTCACATCTTTCTGCGTGGCGGCTGTGCCTTTATTCTAACTTTGTCAAAGCCTTAAAAAACCGTCTCACAACATTTGCTTGATGTATGGAGGGTAGATAAAACACATGCTTCACAAAAGAGCAGGACTATCTTCACTTTGTTATTCCAATATCCTCTTCATTTCTTTTATAGCGTCAGTATGATAGGATCATTAGTCATTGGCTCACGTCTGTTGGAGGCAGAGAATGATTGCTGTTGCCTGACATGATCTCAGGCTGGTATTTGAAGCAGAGAGTCTAGCTTTATCGGAATGAGAGACCGGCTGAAAAATAACGAATGAGGGACCACTTTCTCTCCTCCCCTGCTGGAGATAATCTTGTTTTTGACTTGAGTGATAGGCAAGTATTTCACAGACGCTCCATCTGTTTCTGACGGCTTTGCCTTTATGTCAAAATTGGATTTCTTAATTTAATCGCAGCAGTTCCAAACTAGCGTTGTTGCCTGCATCCCTCCAAGCGCAGATCACTGCTTTGTTTCTTGTAGCTTTATGCAAAGTACTTCCTCTGATCCGCCCACAATACGGCCCTCAATTACGATAATGACAGAGTGAGGCAAATTGCAGAAATTACACGATATAGGGCCATTTGCAAATCCAATTTAAGCCCTAGTTAGGAGAGTATACATTCTGCAATCTAGCCCAAAAAGATCTCGCAGACAGCTGCTGGATGGATTCAGCTGCCGGTGTAGAACAGCACTCAGGCATGGATTGGGCAACCGGATCAGGTGGGCTCGACAGGGAGAGTAGGTTTTGTGTCGACCAGGATTAGAGGAATGATCTGTGTCCCAGATGTTTCTTAATGCACTGTCACATTATGTAAATCCCCCCTGCGTATGAATGCCAAAGATACTGTATTTGTCTGCCGGCTACACGTTGTTTCCCCCCGAGCTGCATGGATTGACCTCAATTTGTGATTCATTTTCTTCGTTCCTCCCCATCTCTTTTCAGTAAGGGGGAGTGTGGTGAACGACAGCACACGTTTCCTGTTTCTGTTTACAGTGTACGGCCTGAAAGATCACAGAGCGTTCTTGCTGGGAACAAGACTCACGTTTGGACAGAGGAAGAAGAAACGTCTTTGAGGCTCTCTCATAGGGCTTTTCACACCAACGCGATTCCGGTTCTAGCTCCGTGCTTTTCTGGTTTGGAACCGGTTTTTCTTTTCAGCCCCCGTTATGTTCACACCGCCCAGAGCCAGACTGGTGCTGCCGCTGCTGCGTCATGATGTCACAGTTTACGTCGCTGATTTTCTCCCCAACGGCGTTACGGCGCTCACTACAACAATAACAATGGGGGACTGCGACGGTTCGATGATCGTGTTGCTTTTAATCATACGAAGCCAGATTCAATTAAATAACTACTTCTCCAACCTTGTACTTTTCTCCAGATAAGTGAATGTGTTTTAGTCTGAATTGACTCTGTTTGGCATCACAACGCTGTTATGAAAGTTTCTCTGGTATAAAATGGGTGATGTTAGCATAGCAACCGAAGCTAAACTGACTATCTTGACTACTTGTTGTTGCTATCCTATTGTGGCATAAACCGTTTTCTACAGGCACATTTTACCGGCGTATTTTTATTATGATTCTACTTGTGATAGTCGGACACGACAACCTGTGCAGCCCATGTATTGATTCCATCCGATAGCTGCTATAATACAAAACAACACATCTGCCTCTCTCCACAATGATCAATAACAATGAACGGATGGTCAAAGTAAGGTACAAATAAACAGAATCACACGAGGCCTGGTTAGTGTTGCCTGACTTTATAAAGTGTGTTTTTTTTTTTACAAGTGTGTGGTTGCCTTCTAGTCACTTTGCTCAAGGCAAGGCAAGGCAAGGCAAGGCAAGGCAAGTTTATTTATATAGCACTTTTCAACACAAGGCAATTCAAAGTGCTTTACAAAAAATGAAAGACACTAAGAAAATGGCATTTAAAATCAGTCATTAAAAAGAAAAGCTAATAAAATAAACATTAAAAGAAAAAATACATGGATAAAAGTTACAGTGCAATCTAAGATATGAATAGTTCAATTAAAAGCAGCGACAAAAAGAAAAGAAAAGCTCAGCACTACAGCTTGTTACAACTTGTATTTGCCATACTCGCCTTTAACTGTTAGCTCAGGTTAATCTCGCCCCCCTCCGACGTAAGCGTGACATATTCGGTTCTTGCTTCTAGACCGAATTTGTTGGTGCTTGAAACAAACCGGATTCCGGAGCTTAGAGGTGGCTCCGCTGCGGTGTGAACAGGAAAAAACGATGCTTTTCAGGCTCCAGCTCCGAACCGGCCCTGGAACCGCGTTGGTGTGAAAGCCCCATCAGAGGCAAGTCAGCTCCTGCCCTCCGCTATACACCTCCCTCCCCTTCCTCTCTTATCTCCCCTGCCCTCCCCCCTCTCTGCCACCTTGCTTCCTGCCTGTCTCCACATTCAACACCTTTCTTTCTGACGGCTAGAACCAGGCTAATTGACAGACCGACCTGAGGAAATGTAGTGTTCCTCCGCCTCCTGTCTCTGGATCAAACATCCCTCTTGTCTCTCTGCTTCCCCCTACATTTCACTTCCTCCTCTCAACCGCTCCTCAGAACAACTACGGCATTGAAGTCTGTTGCTCCGTGTTCTTGTACAGACTAGAATATGAATCATGGCTTTGAGCGTGGGCAGCCGGTCATGAAAGATGAGGAGGGCAGGGCGAGGAGAGAGAGACGGTAAGTTTAACTGGAAGGTTGAACTTTAACAATGAGAGGCCTGCCACTGAGAGACCTGCACCCCCCCTCTGTCAGAGGCTCTCATCCGATCACGCTCTCCAACACTTCAGGTCCTGAAACATCTTCTGGCTTCTCTCTTCTTACTTCAAGACAAATCTTTACCATGTCTGTATCCTCTGTTCTGGGCTCCTACTTATTCCCTGCTTTCCACATGTGTCTTCCTCTGCCTGACTCTCCCTCAGTAAAGTATGGTTGCAGTTGAATTGTTGTTTTTACTTAGGAAGGTTCCTAACGGAGTGAAAGGACCAGGGAGTACCTCAGTAGCAGCCATGATAAGAGCTGTTGGAATTCTCTAGGTGATAGGAAAGGAGGTTTCAAACTTCCTTTATAACCTCCTTTAGCTTAGGAAACACTGGCCCTTCCTTTGCAAAAGGAAAGAAGAAAATGCTGCCCCACGATGCCTTGCTGCAACATTTACCGTGACACCGCTCAGGGCACTCAGTTTGGAAAGTTTAACACTGTATGAATCAAAGGAGAAATATTACCGTTACTTTACTGAAATGATCAACTAAAATCAACATTTCATAGTGTTTACTGAGCTGTGTGGGGTTTCTTAAACATTTTCAAAACATGTTTGAATGATGATATACACAGTGATAGGTTAAGGCCTAACAATTTATGCATATTTTGCATTAAATTGCATTTATTTAAAATGTCTTCATACAATCATACGTATTGGGATTCATGTGGAATAATATGTGTGGACTGCAGGGTGAGTGCGAGCAACCATAAGTTATATATGAGTATATGTTTCTCTGTTGTCCACGTTCCTAAAGCTCACATAAAACAACACCATAATGGCGCACGGTGCAAAGTAACTAGATGCTGTTACAGTAGTCTGTACAGAAAACTGTAGTTTCCCACAGCAGACGCACATTAATAACATCTGCTTGCGCTTCCTAAATACGAGGGTTAGTGTAAGTGCAGTCGGATTCTCAAAGCATCGCAGTGTCTTTCCTAAGTCCTTAGAATTCTCAAGACTGACCCGCCTTCTCCTTGTCTGTTTCAAACTCCAGTGTGAAAAAATATACAGAAAATGTCTTGTAGCAGAAAAGAAGGCCTCTCCACAGTGGATGATTCCCCCACCGTTGCTTTCCCCTTTCATTTCCAGCACAGTGCTGAACGTTATCTGTAAGAGTGAAAATCGACAGCTGCCAGTAGGAGTGAAATGATTGTCAGACTTTATTGACTCCCATGAACAATAGCAGAACAATGGCATTTTTTTCGAATAAAAGCTTCTACGCCAGAATCATTTATGCATTCTCATGGTGTGGCAGGCCGGTTGTTTGACACTGTAGCGAAGGGGTCTCAGCCATTCAATATAACGTTCTGTGTCCTCTCAGAATGCTGTTTAATGTGCATGTTGTCAATTACCCGGATCCAATAGCATTTTGGCAAGATACTCCCCCCCCTCTGCTTTACTGGCACAGAGCAGGGCAACATGCCACCACATACACAGA